GCACAGCACCGATATGCTAATGCGCTGGAGCCAGCCGAGCGGCTCGAAGTCGTAAGCTGTCCAGAAAGCAGAAATGCACTGATATCACACCAACGGAGAACCAAAGCAGCGGAACTTAATTGTCAATGAAAGCCCTCTCTTGCCACCGTCAACAATGTACCCGAAGCTCTTTCCCCTATTGGAGCTCAGCACCAAGACTACAATCTTACATCTACTATATCGCGCCAAACACACTGAGAACACTGCTGATTTCTGGGTTTTGCTGCCGGAATGTATGCCTTGCTGAGATTCCCGCGTTGTGCTGAGTTGTCTAAGTGTGTGTGTGTTTCCGTGTGTGCTGGTCCTTGTGCCTGTCTAAGTGCACGTCTGCCTGAGTGTGTGTGGAGCCCGACAGGGCACTTGTGTGTTGCGAGGCCCGCGGGGCCTGTACTTACACTGTGGCCGTGACTTTGAGAGTTGCAGCGGAAAAAACGCTAAGTAGCAGGCAGGCCAGTACCACTCAAGTAGCGGTAGATGTGTCGGGAACTGGAGGCCAAGCAGAGGAAGACAAAAAGTTGGCATTTTTAGAGGCCCAGTAGCGGTAGGCTGGAGGTAGGCAGGTACAGAGCCTGCAATGATGTTTCCCTTCGAAAGGGCCTGGAAGTCCGTGCCCTGGAGGCTTGGAGGCCGTGCCGCCTGGAAGACACCGCCCAAGAGGCAAGTAGGCCGCTATATCTTCTGGAGGAGCAATTAGCTCCTCATTTGTGGTTTGCAAGGTTGGGCAACATACTGCTTGAGCGGGCGCTGGTCTCAGAGTGCTGCCTGGGAGGACGAGAAGGAGCTGGGCGCTCAGCCTGGCTATGGCGAGCAGCCCAGCTTGAGGAGGAGGGAGACTGGGGCAAAGGAGGAGAGTGGCGAGGTACCTACCTGGCTATGGTGGACACCATCTTCATCACCTTGTTAGGCGCTGCATCTGGAAGGCCCCAGTTGGGGTAGTGCCGCACCAAGGAAGCTTCGAGGCAGAGTCAGGCATGGCGGCGTGATGACCGCCGACCATAGCTGCTTTGTGCTGTCTTTTCCACAGGAGGGCAAAGCTCTTAGTAGTCCGCCATTGCTGTCACATGTGAGAGGAAGGTGAAGACGGACGCCATGGACTTGTCATTGGTCTTGCTGGTGTACACCTTTTTCTTCTTTCTGTGTGCTTCTTTCTTCTTCTTTGGTGTCTATCACTTTGCAAGTGCTTTCATTTCTTTCACAATTGGGTGCCGCAGTCTTTCGTTCTGAATTTGCAATTCAGAAATAGCCAGGATCATAACACACAGCAAGCAGCAGCAACCAAGGTACATAGAGATGTTGACCATGTAGACCTCCACCAGGACCAGGTACGTGCTCTCACATCTGTCTCCCACTCACTCTCTCGTCCATTCTTGGCTTCACCCACATCCAACCACAGTCCACGAAGACCACCACCACCTCCACTGGCGAAGACCACCACCACCTCCACTGGCTTCCTGTAGCTTCAGCTCGGCTTTGGAAGGCTTGGCTATGGCGCTGCTCCCATGCAGCGCCCACCACCTGCAGCCGTGAGCGCACTTCAGACCCTCCACCAGCAGCTAACCAGCGGCCAAAATGGCAGCACTGCTGCAATGCATGAATGCTCTGATGCTCGCGAGCAGGCCGCATGTAACAAACTGGCGGGAATCAACTGTCTGGCGCCCACCAGGGCCTGCAAAAGTTCAATATTCCGGCCTCATCAAAATTTGGGGGTCGGCCCACATTGGCTCATACTCAGGCTTGGGCGCATATTAGCAGGCCCACATTCACTTCAGGCGGGCATGGCCTTTACCAACATTGCCTAGGGACTCGAATCCTCGCACAAAAATTAATAATAATAACAACAAAAGAAAAAATAAGAAAAAATCATCGCACATGTCCTAGCTTAGCAGGAAGAAGGATGCACTCGAAGAGGCCTACACAAGCATCGAAGGAGCATTTCACACTGGAGAGCGCCTACAACCGACTGTAGGGACCTTCTATGGTTTTTCAGTAACAGCTAGCTTATCCAAGGCTACATATACTGGAGAAGCATGCAATTTGGGCAGCCTTGATACCTGATCAAAGTACGTAGCACCCTTAGTGTCCTCAGTTAGCAGGAAGAGGGTTGTGCAAGCATCAATGGAGTACACCCGGGAGAGAGCCAATGACTTAGCCAGGAACTGATGTAGCCTAACCCATTATGTAAATGGAGCCAAGGATCAGCGAAGTGATGATAAGGACTCAAATGGACAATGCAACATCAGCGGAAGACGCAAAGATATGACCTGACCTGTCAGATACTAACGCAACTCCATCCATCACACACCGCACATGGGAGAGAGGAGGGACCGCACACACAGAAGAAATGTCCCTCCTTGGACACGCACATGGGGACAAACCACGGATGAGATGAAGGAGTACAAGCAAGACGAAGGTGGAGGTGTGGGAGAAGACCAAGATCATGATAGCGAAGTCCAAAAATATCCCTGCCGAATGTCCAATCAATGTATGCCTCTATAATGTCGTATCAGGTCCTGGGCCTCGTAGCCCGATATAACGTCTGCCTATAACCTCTCTCTCTCTCTCTCTCTCTGATAGAAGAAGAAGACGAAGAAGGAGAAGAAGAAGAGATTGCAGGTCGCTGGCGAGAAGTCCAGCTATGGCACCCAGGTACGTCTTCCGTCACTGCAGGTATGGCCACCGCCTCAACCCCTCTCTCTCCCTCCCCCCGTACCTCTACCTCTAGTCCAACCGCAGCACTGTATTGTGAGCTGCTACAGAAGTGTGTCGGTCAGGAAGTGAGCTTCTCCAACTGTGTGTGGAACTGGACTGGCCCAGCTATCTATAGCGCTGGGCCTGGCTGGTGTGCCCGTGCCCTGCAATCTGGGCTGCGAGATCCATGAGGCCAATCCACAGCCCAGGTAGCGGGAAAAAGTCCTCTGGTCCTGGCCTAAAACGGCCCAGGTAGCAGGAAAAAGTCCTGTGCAATCCAGGCTGTCCACTACCGGACGAACCCCAACCTGGCCTGGAAACGCCTGCCAGCAATGGAGGCGCCCAGAACGTGGCCTTGATCTGAACAGACCGTAAGTCTGTTCGGACAACTGCAAGTTCGAAACGACATCCTGAAGGAGACAAAAATAGAACAGACAACGAGTCAGCAAATAAATAAATAATAAATGCTGGCTCAAATCTGAACCTGCAGCCTGAGAAATGGCCGTGGGCCCCCAAAATGTGTGCCTGGAATGGGCACACCTAGGGGCCCTCAACAACTGTCGGGCCCCCAAAATGGGTCACCCCTATCAGAGAAGAAAGAGCAGCTGCAAGAATTCAATCCAGGCTTACACAAGCCAATGACATTCAGATACATAGGCCAATGGAAGCTTCCTTCACAACAAAAGGCACAAAGCACACATTTCTATGGTACTTGGACTATCCAAGTTTTTCACTTAATTCGTACTTGGACTATCCAAGTTTTTCACTTAATTCTTAGTTTTAAACCACCACTACCTGGGCCTCACTTTCACATTGTGCGGTACCTGATCATTTCAGAGGCCGAAACGACACAACAGCCGCTGATGAGATTTATCTGCAATGAACTGCAGGTTCAGGCTAAAAACTAAGTACCAGGTTTTTCTAACCATTTTGTAGATCTGCCGCCTCCGGGGTTTGATCCCTGGACCTATGTCTAACGGGGACTGCTCTAACTCTCACAGAGTTTTGAGGCCCCCAAACCTTGATCCCCCGTACCAGTCCTTTACAATGACGATTTCCTTGCTGCTGTAGATGCTAGGCCCGTTCCCTTTTTGCCTGTATGCAGTCTAGCTTCAGTCAGGCTGTTGAGTCGATCCTAGCAGTCCAGTAGGATGTAGCCTCGATAGAAGTCAGTCTAGGTTGGACAAAAGTAGGGAGGGCAAATTTTGACGAGTTCTTTTTCCAGTTTTCTTTCCACAAGATAGGGGAAAATGGAGCGCTGGATGCTGTGCTGAGCATCAATTCCCCTAAGGTTGCTGCCGGCCATATCTGGGGCCGTACGGCTTTACTGGGATCAGCGGCAGCCTTTGGTTCAGGGCACTGGTGAGCGCTGCCCGTACTGTGGCTGTTGGGATTACGCATAGCTGCCAGGAAGCAGCAACTTGAAGTAGTCTTCTTCCTTGTGCCAGTTCTTCATCTTCATCGTCTCGGTGTACCTCTTCATCCTCGGAGCTGCGCTCCCCTGCTGAGTGGACCCCTGGGATTTTAGGTTGCCCCCGCTTACTGTGTTGGATGCACGAGGGTGTTGTAATGTTGGCAGGCTTGATAGGTTGGGTGCTGTATGCGCCATAGCTTGAGTTGGCTGGCGAGGGAGGAAGAAGAAAAGATAGACTCCCCTCTTACTGGATAAAACTTGTGAATAATTGGATTCTGGGAGTTGACAACACGTTGGAAGTACTGTGCGTTGATTGGCTGGGGAGAGCGGGATATTAAGTAGAATTGATAAACTTCGCTGTGTATTCTCTGGTCTAGTGTGGTGTGAATTGCTCTCTCCAAGATCATTGCATGTGTATGGGAACGTGTGGATGTCATGCCGTATCTCATTGCAATCGGGCACATATCATATCAACGGTGGCCGACATTGGGCCCAGCCCCTGAACTTTTAGGAGTAGGGCGAATAGCCTATTTTCCCATTTTCTCAACAGTGGAAGGGTAGTGCTGGTTTAGGCGAGTTCATGGGACTGAGCCCCCAAAGTGAAGCGGATGCATGGACTCATAGAGTAGCGGAAACAACAAAAACCCTCATTCACATGCACTCACCCCAATTTAGTGGGAAGTGTAGCGCTGATTTAGGCAAGTTCATGGGACTGAGCCCCCGAAGTGAACCGGATGCATAGAGTAGCGGAAAAGACAAACCCTCATTCACATTCACTCACCCCACCAGTCCCCAGTCGCCAACGAGCACAGCAAAACGGTCATGATAAGTACGAGTGCAAGAGAGAAGTTGAACCCACCAGTTCTGCATCATCCATCAGTTTCTTCCGTTTCTTCTCAAAGTCTGTGGTTTTCTCCTTCAGCCTCTTTGCTTCTGCCTCTGCTTTCTTTAGTAAAGTCTTCATATTACTGTCACAGACAAACAAGAACAGACGGATACACATCCAGCATACCTAAGCATCTCCACACATGCCAGTGTCCGACCCAACAAGGTTTATACATTAACTACTCACTGTTTTTCAGAGTAGGCTACCAAACAACCAGGATCAGACAATTGCAATGACATGTTCACACCATACAGGCGGCGCATCACATGCGCGCAAGTTGTGCACGTGCACCTCATAGCGCATGCGCACAAGTGATGCGGCGCAAGTACAGAAATACGGTCTATTAAAAAAATTGAAAAGGGCAGGCTGTTGCAATGACTTGCTGGCTCCAGTGGCCTGTAGCCTCTCCTGTCGAGGCTGTACCATAGGTAGGATAGATCCGTAATTTTGTTTGGCTGACGGCTAACCGAGAGACTCGCCTGTAAGGAAAATTCGGGAGGGACATATCTGCAAAGCCGGGAAAATATAGGCCCATACTAACTAGAATTTCCTACAGCTACCCTAACTGCGAATAGCAGGCCCAGGCTACCCCTAGGACAGACAGGCCATACAGGCCTAAGCTGATAGACGGTCCTATAGCCCATAGCCGGGTAGGGAGAGGCCCTAGAGGCCGAAACTGAAACTGTGCCGGTCAGTCCTACCGGTCCGTTCTAGGTCGTGTCTAGGCTAGCGTAGAGTATAGATAGAATGTAGAAATCTGTTCAGGGCTTTTGGCAGTTGGTACTGTGTACATCGTGGCTCCACAACGCATGAACTGGAGTGGTGACAGCTTCAGCGTTAGAGGAGACAGACATAGCCGGACCTTCGGAGCGTCGGCCATAGCTGGGACCTGCGCTGTACTCTGACAGCACGCGGGGTTGTACAGAGGTTCAGGCTATCTGAAGTCTGCTGGAGGCAGGAGAAGTTGGTGCCCTGCTGAACCCTCCTCAGGAGTAGGGTTACAGGGTGTGTGGGGCTGCAGCCATAGCTGCAGCTTCTTCCTCAAAGATCATCTTGTCAGGAGAGGTGGCGCTGCTGCAGACTTCCACCCGGGAAGTCATGCGGCACTTCATCATCATCAGACACTATGGTACTGGTCTTCTTCTTCATCCTCAGAGAAGCGCTTGGCCTCAGAGGCCTGTTTTAAGGTCGCGCTTCTCTCTGGAAGTAGTATCTGGGTGGCGCTGGTTGTTTCAAGGGCTCAGGGTTGATATAGCGATTACTCAAGGTGTGGGGAAAAAAGCGCTGCTTATTTCCAAGCAGCGCGCCATAGTTCTGGGGTTACTTTGACCATTCAAGACTCCGAGTTTAATAAACAATGTTGATGCTGGGTCTGGACTATCATTGCTTCATTATTTCTTGGATGTGATCTAATCGGCTTTCTTTATGACTGGTTGTGAGGACGTGGAGTGAAGTGCACTTTCAGTGTTCTCTGTCATATCGCATGGTCAAGTCTTCAACGGTGTTCATCTCTCCTTGTGCGGTGTGATACTCCCATCCTCTCCCCTTCCTGTATGGGCATACCTGGAAGTCTATGTGCGCGAGTGTTGGTCTTCTGACAACAAACAACGAGGTTCATAACAGTGGGTATCGGAGTGATTGGATCCAGACAGTGGAGCGATTGATGAGTTGGAGCAACCATCATCATCTGGCGAGACACAGGAGTTGAACTTCATGGCGATTTGTCATCTTCAGGGTTGGCGAAAGTGAGGGCGGTGGTGGTGAGTGTGTGGCGAGAGGTATTGGACAGAGGGTGGCACACTCCTGTCTAGGGTTATGCAGGAGTGAGTGGCGATTATTGCTCAGAGGCCTGGGAGGCTCCGAGGAAGCTATTTTTAGCCTGGCGACTCATCTAGAAACTGGAGATTGACAAGGAAGGGATCCCAAGGTGTTGCGACTTTGGAATTCGGTCAAGATCCCCAATTTCCAAGCAGCGCAGTGCAGGTTAGAGCAGGGCTAAACCGAGTTTCTTGGTTATCAGCATCTGGGAGTCCAGCTTCAGTGAATCTGTCAGTTGACGGTGGAGCACCTCAGGAAGAACTGCTGGATCACCAAGTTTCAAGAAGTTTGGTACGTGGAAACACTAGAAATCATCAGGAGATGAAACTGGCGAGATGGGGTTGAGCAAACAGCCATAGTCGGGGTTATACTTATCTTCTTCAAAGATATCCCTGAAGTAAGTGTGTACCTTACTCTACTCGGTGCAGCGATTCTGGGACTATTTTTAGAATAGTAAAATTTGATTTGTCAACCAGTATCCTTCCTAACTCAATTTTCGTTTGTGACTGCTTTATAGTGTTGCGATTCATCTTGTACTGTGAATTGGATGGTTAAGGATCATGTTGTCAATGGTAATGCAAATTTGAATTTTGCGCTGCCATACCTGAAGCTTGGTTAGACTAGGGTCAGTCATAACTTCAGTTTTGTCCGTCAGAATTCAATTTTTTGTCAGTCCTGAGAAAATCGCAATTCAATAGTCAGCTGGTGTCTGAAATCGCATAGTCAAATTTAATGTTTTCAGTCATTTGCAGTGACATCTGTAATTCAACATATCTTGGGTATGCACAAGCGGTTATCGGGTAGCTGAAAATTCAAGAATGAAAATTCTGAAGTGAGAGTTTTGGGCAGTCTGAAAATCCTGAATGGTCCTGAAGTGGTGAAAGGTCCAAAGACCCTGAAAACCACCTGTTTAGGCAAGTTGCATCCTGAAGTGGTGAAGGGTGTCCTGAAGTGGTCAAGTGAGAGTTTTGGGCAGTCTGAAAATCCATAATGGTCCTGAAGTGGTGAAAGGTCCGAGGACCATGAAAACCACCCTTCACCACTTGAGGATGCAGCCTGCCTAAACAGGGTTTTCAGGGTCTTCAGAGCTTTCACCACTTCAGGACCATTCACGATTTCCAGACCTGAATGATCCTGAAGTGGTGAAAACTCCGAAGACCCTGAAAACCACCTGTTTAGACAGGTTGCATCCTCAAGTGGTGAAGGGTGTCCTGAAGAGGTGATGAAAAATACGACTGTTATTAACCTTCTCTCTGGGTATGGCATACAGGGTCATCCAGTGGGGAAGTAAGTAGGGTAAAGTCTAAAAATAGCATACCCTAGAAATCGCTATATCTTGGTCATCAGTGGGTATCTGTCAGTCATAAATAGTCACTTTGTCTAATTACTAATCAATACTAATCAGTCCAGGACAGCATCCTGCAAGGTATTGATATAGGATTTGCAGTTATTGCTTGCAATTGTTGTGTAAGGGCAGTAAAGGGAAAATCGTGAAATTGATTTTTGCAGAGTGTACTTTAAACTGACCCCTACCCTCAAGTGGTCTGTACAGACTGAGCACTCGCTTGCTTACACTAACCAATTAGTCTCTTCAGTCACGTGACAACAATTGGGCGCGTACTGCAGAGAAAACCCAATTCGTGTTACTTCCATATTTAGTTTTATTTTCTGTATTGTGGGAATTTCAAAATGTCTGGTTCAAAGAAGGGAGTGGCTTCTGAGGTGAAGCCTCAACTTCCTCTTGACCGTTTAGAAGATGAACTGTGTGCTGAGGAGAAACTCCGCCAACAGGCACAGGAAGTTGAGGCTCTGAAGGCAAAGCTAAAGCGCAATGAGAAAGCTGACAAGGAGACTAGGAGGCGGGAGTTGGCAGCAAATGTGGAGAAGGTCAGGGTGAGTGGCAGCTCCAGTCAGTACAATAAGGATATTTTTGAATTCGTCCTTTTGAAGGATGACATCCACCAATCCTCTTTTCCTAAGAAGGATGTCAGGATCACCAGTCTGGAGGAGCTTATGGCAGAGCATATGAAGGAGTTGAAGGACATCTCTTCCAAACTTGATCATCTTTTCGTCCATCTACAAATCCCACCTACCCAGACTGTTCCTACATCTCCTGGACCCTTTCAAGCATGACCTCAGCAACCCCCACAATCCAAACATACATCCTCTCCCTCTACACCCAAGTCAACAACACCTTCACAGCCCTCTGCATCATTTGACATGCAGCGGCCCAAGCTGACGCCTCCACCCATGTTCTCTAGCGAGGACCCATAGGTGGATGTTGCAGATTGGGTCAATGCACAACGAACTTGCCTGAGCGGGGTCAAATGTGATGAGGACGTGAAGGTGAGTGCCATCCTTGATCGCCTAGAGAGGACTACACTGAAATGGTGCACCTCTACCTTGAGTAAGCAAGGGATGGAGATCGCTAATTGGGCGCAGAGGCTGGGGGTGGCTGGTTTTCTACAGGCACTGCAGGATAGGTTTGCAGTCAAGGAGCAGGCCAAGAAAGCAACAAATAAAATTTTGCGCCTGGGCCAAAAGATATTTGATGGCTCCTTGTCCAAACTTGAGAGTCTAACATCGACTTGCTCATTCATTTCCAAAAAGGAGCGCCTGAGCAATACGAGCTTGCTCTCTTCTCTCACCGCCACAAGGACTGGCGGTCCTTTGGAAGAGCAGCCCTAACTCCATGTCCAAGAAGCGCCTTTTGAAGGAAGGGACCCTCCTCAAAAGGGCGTAAAAGGAGGAAGGGTGCCCTGTTTGCTGCAGCCTCGAGTTCTGATGATGATGCAGCATCCCAAGGTGGGACCCCTCCATCTAGAACTGCTTACTTCATCTGCTGCAGATCCTATTGTTCTTGCCCTGGCTAATGCTTTGATGGGCCTGACCAAAGGTAAAGCCCCAATCCGAAAAACACCAACCAGCAGTAAGGGGAAAGGTAAGGGACGTGCCTCTTCCCCTGATACCCAAAGAGTTCCATTACCACATGACGTCCGATAGCCAATTGACCCCCTTGATCCTTCCACCTTTTCCTAGCACGCACTCAGGATTCAGGAGGGAGTTTGGAGGAAGGGGAAGGACAGGGATGTCTGCCTTAAATGCGAGCGGGCCCATTTTTAAAAGGATTGTCCCAACATGCCTCCCAGGTCTACAGACAACTCTAGTTTAAAAAACTAGAGCAGAAAGAAATGGAAGTTGCAGCTCCTGCCACAAATGCTGATTCGCCTTCTGATGAAGATGAATCTTCATCATCTCTCGCTG